GGTCCAGACAGTGAAGGGTGAGCTCTGGGGAGGAGGAGACCTGCAGCTGATGGGGCAGTGAACCCTTTCACGCCACTGAGCTGCGCACTGTGGGGGGCTGGAACGGGAGGTTTGTTCTTTTGTTACGTGCTTCACCATGTGGGCTCTGCCCACCCCCAAGTACTCCGATCGATGGTGTTTTTCCTCAGACACCCAGGTCTTCAGTCGCCTTGCCGTGAGTGCCAAAGGTGTTCTTCACACAGCCCTGCTTCGGGCCCCCGAGAAGACCTGGGAGCTGCAGCTATTCGGGCCAAGAGCAGTGCAGGCCCGGGCAGCTTTGTCCTCCCCAGCCCTCCATGGGTCTGCAGGGCCTCTCTGCGAGCCTGGCCTCTCTTGTCTGTGTAGCCGACAGCCCTGGGCCCAGGTGACTCCATTTGTGCCCCAACAACCACACTTAAAAGGAAGAACTGCGGAGCTGTGGGGTTCACTAGCTAGAACAGCTGGGTAAGTTTCCCTGGCTCTTTGCGCCTCAGTCTCCCCGCTCTGAAGGGCACTGACAGCACAAGGCACTGGGCGGCCGGGGACACGGGAGTTGCCCTTGCGCGCTCTGGACCTGCTCTGGCTGCATCTGGGTGAGCACCAGCCCAGGAGAGCGAGTCTGGAGGCTGCCGGTGGCGCAGGGCACCGCAGCGCGAGTTCGATTCGCATTCGCAGCTGGCCGGGGAGGGACCCCTGGGCGCAGCACACTCCTGTCTCCCCGCTGCCCCTGCAGCAGTGGGTCTCAGTGGATCCACCTGTTAGGCTCCCCACTGTCTCTGGGGAGTCCTCTCATCACCCCCCATCTCTGGCCTGCACCCCAGTTCTTCCATGAAAAAGATCTTTAGAGGAAGTTAACACAGGGGGTGCCAGGACAGCGGAGTTGGTGTCTGGGGGGACAGGGCCACTGGGGGAGGGGCAGGCCCCGCACATGGCTGCCGTGTGTGTCTAGCAGTGTCTGATCTGCACTTCTGTGCCACTGACCTGTGCACGTACCATGACCCAAATCACACACTTTATATTTGACCACAGTAAAGATGAAATAAGGGTAAACAAAAAACTCTCAGGTGAAATGCAATCTCCTCAGTCACATGGGCGCTGGGATGGCTGGTGTCCCGGTCAACCACCACCGTGTGACCAAGCACCCCGGGGCTTCAAACAATTGCAACGTTCACCCGGTCGCAGGGCTTGGCAGGGAGGGCTCAGCTCTGTTCCGTGGGGCGTCAGCCAGGGCGAGCCAGCAAGGGCAAGTGGGGAGACGTCGTGCCACCTGGAGCCGCAAGGGCGCCACTGAGTCCAGGGGCGGCCGGCTGGCCCGTGTCGTTCTGCAGGAGGCCCCTCCTCAGCAGCATCTCTGAGACTGGAGCAGCATGTCCACTCCCTGGAGGCAGATGGGTGGTTTTGTTAGCGTGTGACCAGGGGGCACCCAGGAACCCCAAGCTGGTAAGGGGCATACACGCAAAAAGGGACCTGGCCGCGCATGCACACGGGCACAGGAAGTGGTGTGTGTGGAGCGAGGAGGGTTCCAACAACAGTCCCTCAGTAAAACTGCAAATGTGTCCCATCCCCTTGCAGGCGAACGCCCAGGCGGGCAGGCCTGGTCGCGGCAGGCAGCGGAGGCCCGAAGGCTCGCGGGCACAGGCAGGGCAGGGAGCCCTGGAGAGCGGGCACGAACGGAGGCTGGGAAGTCAGAGTGCCCATCGCCCGCCACAGGGGCAGCGTCTGCACGCCGCGCCCCTCCGCATCTGCCCCAGTCCGCCCCCTGGGCTGCGGCCGCCTTGCCCGGCTGCTCCCGTCGGGAAGTCCACTTCACGCACACTGCCTTCCAGCCCAG